TGAATGAAGAGAGGTGCAGTCAAGCATTTACACTGAAATATATATATGCTGTTATAAGTATCTTCTAGGGTTAATGGCCTTTCATAGAGACTAAAAGCAAGTTGCAGAAGATAACTCTCGAGCTCTTTTTCATTGAACAAAGTCTTTCTATGATTTGTAATGATGATTTATGCTAGAAAAACCCACTCACTCAAGCCTTATGTGTGATCACTGTGCCAAGATGCTGCTGCTGTCCAAATTGATGAAGAAAGGGCTGGATTGAGTAGTGAATCTGAGTTCCAAGCCGCTGTGGTTATTTCTGAGGGTTGTCATAGGTATAACTATGCTATTTACACTTGCTTAGTAGTTTGCTTTGAACTGAAACATGCTGAAATGGATTTTGAGCTCTTAGATCAGTAGATAAGCTTGTTTTTTTACATATATTGCGATTCAAGTGCAAAATGATTAAGTCTAGCTATTCTATGGATTATCTATGTGCGAGCAAGTCTATTTTGATGAATCAAAGCTGTAGAAATTGGCTGTGGTGCAAAACATTGACAGATTGTGATAGTGACCTTGCAAAACCTCTCAAATTGTGTTTTTGAGCTTATTTAAGAACTGTGGTAGTACATTGATATATACTCATGCTATACTGAATTGCTTAAGGATGTTAACATAAGTACTGCAGTGAATTAAGACTGTGGAAGCTACTGATGAGCTATTCTCGATGAAAAATTCCAATTTTACCCCTCATATTCTAGCTGCAGCAGTTTAGTGATTTTGAGGCAGTAACTTGGTATTTTGTGTTGTTCAAGCTGTTTCAATTGTAGAAGGAATTTGATTATCTTGTTTATCATTTGTAATGATGTATATGGTGAGCTATATGAGCTTTGTTGGTCCAAGCAAGGGTGCTTAGGACAGCGGGAGTGTGTGTGTGCACTGAAATCAGCTAGTGTGTGTATTGGTCGTGAAAGCTAGTGCCCATTCTTGTGCTTGGGTGTGTGCAGAGGGTAAGACAGCTGAGTGTGTAACAACGTACATACAGCTAGTAGTGATCTTCATTGGCCATGGCCAAGAACCAAGGTTTTCCCTAAATGAAAGGGTTTCCTTGTAAATCCTGTTTTAAGTATTTATTGTTTGCTTGCTGAATTATCTTATTGATTCTGTTGGGAAGAGAATAACCAATTCAGCCCCCCTCTTGGTTCATCAAAAACAAATTTCCAACGTTTAGGATTAATTACATTAAAAAGAAGGACAAAATGAGCAAAATAGGTGCACTTCGGTCGGCCGAAGCAACTCCCATGAACCGGTCGACCGAAACAGGCATTTCGGTCAACCGAAATGAAACCTTAACAGCCACTGAAGTCTCTGGACGAACCGGTTGACCGAAGCAGGCATTTCGGTCTACCGAAATGGCTCTGCGTGCTACTGGAAATGCTGAAAATCCTGAAAATGAAAAATGTTTTATGGAAAACTTCGCAAATTTGTTTCAAATTTGTTCTAAAAATATCCCAAGTGGTAAACTACATATCATGGTCATGATCCTCAACATTTTATATACAAGGCAACTCCATCAACCATTCAAATATATAGATATATATAATACATTGTTTTTACATTCTTGTTCAAATATCCGACAAATTAGAGTCAAGTTCATAGGTAAATTACAAGGCCAAGGCAGCTAACTTAATTGAACTTCCACAATAAGGCTTTTACAAAAAAATGACCAAATTACAAAAGATAGCAAAAGAAATGAACTCCAAGTCCTCCTCAAACTTGTGAAGGATTATCATCGGCCACCTCCTTTCTATGACCTGAAAATGTTAAATATAAAGGGGTGAGCAATTTGCTCAATAGGTGGTACAAAAGACACACCTCTTGTAACCCCGTGAATCCAAATAATGAATAGGAATAGAGGATAGGGGTCATGCTATGCCGGGAAGGAATACAACATCAATTCTAAATTCAAAGTAAACAATGTCGTGCCATGAAATGCAATGCCATGTATGTCGTTCCCTATTTTCAAAATCCAAATCCATCACTTTTCAAACTGTTAATATAATCTGTCCTTTGGTGACTCCGCAGCGACACAAGAGAAGGATTGGCTACTGTCCCTGACCCTTGGTACCCCCGCGGCGTCATTTGGGGCTCAGCTAGCTCAACCACACTAGGGTGATTTCCCTACTTCCCTCTAGGTTATATTAACACCACGGCCCTTTGGTGACTCCGCGGCGACCGAGTTTTCTCAAAACCATTTCATCAAAAAATTTCCCAAAAATCATTTTTTCTTTTATTTCAAATCATTTCCCTTCATGCATACCCAATGAAATGCATACATGTCTCATACTTTCAATGCTATGATAATAAGGGATTTTCATACAACACAATTAAGCATGCTTTACAAGAAATTCTAAGAAAATTACACATGGTTCCTATACATCATTTCTAACAAGTTAACAACACAATAGGCATAGAAAATGAATACTTAGGCATGTTTTTCATACAAATCAACTAATACATATAATTATGGACTTTGTACACCACAATTAAATCATTATAGGGGAAAGTAACACCAATTAACATGTTAACAACAATTAACAAGAAATTAATTCACAAAGGCACAAGAAAAACATGATTTAGAGACCCCTACCTCAAGGAGGATAAAAAACCCCCAAAATGGATAAAAACCGGAATCCCTTGAGTGCACTAAAACTGAAATTGCTTATATGGAAGTGAAGATTTCACCGTGCTCCTTGAATTGCCTCAAACAGCTTCCAAACATTCCAAGTATTGAAATCCCATACAAAAATTTCAATTTTGTCCAATTTTAGGAAGAAGAGAAGAAAAAGAAAATAAAAAATAAATAAAAAAATAAAAAATAAATAAACTTATTGAAATAATGTTATAGTAAATTTGTACTTTCACATCTTGCGCGATGAGAGTTTAAATATCTTTGAAATCACTCCTAAAGAATTTCGTTGGTACATGTATAAAATAGAGCAGGTTTAACTTAACACTAAATTTAATTTGTAATTCACTTTTAGAAAAAGTTTGGATTTTAATTTTGAATTCAAAATCAAAAATAAAAAATTGGGTGGATATTCTTTGAAAGATATCCAAAATTCAACCCTGATTCATTCATATAGGAGTATATTTTATCATTTAAAAAATTATATGGGTTGAATATAAATCCTATCTACAGGATTTAATTTGAATGCAATAAAATATAAAAAGGTTAAGTACAATTTTTTTTTTCTTTTAAAATATAGGTTTTGGGCATAAATAGTTTCTCTTTTTTGAGAATGTATATTTCAGTTTATAAAATTCAAAAATCCTTTGGCAACTTTTTAGTCAAAATTAAAATAATATAAATTTTAAAACCCTAATTTATAAATTCCTTCCTATTATGCCCTTTTCTGAGGGCTACCGGTCGCCACATCAGTGCCACAACCATTGTTGGTGGCGGCTCCACCACTATAGTCACCGCACCCAGAGCCGCCGCCACCACCCCCACACCCAATACAATAAAAAAAAATGTTCAGCTCCTCCTCTTCTATTTCAATATGGTGCTCACTCTCATCATCAAACCCAACTCTCTCTCTCTTTCCCTCTCTTCATCTCCATTTCTTGCCCCAAAAACCAGTTGCATTTCTATTTATCCAAAAAAAAAAAAAAAAGGGAGAGAGTGTGAAACTGGGTCTGAACCCAACAGTCCCTCCGGTGATACACGACGTCGGCGAGCAAGGATTCTGATTGGCAGCGATGCAGGACGGAAAGGCGGTGCTCTGATCTTATTGGCGTTCCTCACTGAGCTCCTCCTTATTCGCTGGAAGCTCACTGTAACAGGCACTTTCTCATAGGAAATCTTGACCCGGTTCCTCGTCGTCCTCCGCCGTAGATCGACGTCATGAAGAGACAGTTCCCGTCTGCCTTCATCGTCCTCATCACTGCCGAACTGCTTGCATCGCCGTTTCTTACCACCACCATGCCGTACCCAGAATCGAATGACCATCACCACCAACGATGCCTCCATCAACCCGATCTCACCTCCGACGCCTTCAGAGCACTATGCCGTCGTCACTGCACTGTCGCAGTTCCGAAAGTGCCAGCAACCTCACCGCCGTCGTCTGACTCGCGCCTTACGCGCGTAGATCTAATGCGCTTTTCACACGCTCACGCATCACCTTCTTCTTCAGCAATTCCCAGTCTTCATCTTCACTATGTCGGCAACCACAGGTACATAACCCTTCACCGCCGCAGAATCCACAACCATCATCGACGGTACTACACTGTGTTAGAACAGCGTCTCTGTGATTCGTTACGGCGGTACTTCCTGCGTCGAGCTGGTCGACGAGCTATATGCACTCTCCCCTTTGCCTCTGTGTGTGCGCAGCACATTGATAGTGTTTTCTTATTTTTGTGGCGGGAGTTTGGAAATTGTCTAAAATGGTAATTTGGTATTAAATTCTTTTTACAGGAACCGAGGTATAATTGATAGTATAGGAATTTTATACTACATATTAACTTTTTTGCACTACATTAATAGTGTGAGGGATTTGTTTTTTTTTTTTTTTTTTGCACTTAATCCAATATAAAATTAATGAAATAGAGAGTTTGCATAAGTTTGCTGGAGGAATAGTTTTTTAAAAAGTTCCACACTGTCGAAAAGAAAGCCGAAAAAAAGTCCATCCCTAATTTGCAAGTGCATTGATTCACTCACTCACCCACTGAATCAGGTTAGCAGTAAAGGGTTTGAGATTTGATTTGTTGAGGGAAATAAAGTAGCGAAAAATCCATCTAACGGATGATCCATCGGGGTATGGTACTTCCTACGAGAAATAAAGCAACGAAAAATCCTCCATTTCAAAAGGAAGAAAAGTACACCTTTCTCTCGCGATACTCCTATTCCCATACCTTCTAGCTTGCCTTTCTTCCCATCCTTTCATATCATAAAATTAAAATACAGTGCCAGCCAGTGGGAGACATCTGAAAGGCCGCAAGGGTGGGTGGGTAGGACTACAGATTCCAACTTAAAAAACTTCCCACACAAATACAACATTTAACCATTGAATTCTACAACAAGTCATCAAGAATCCCAGTGGAAGAAACACACAGATTGAACAATTAGTAATTTCTATTAATTAATATGGTTTTTTTTTTTTTTTTTTTTCCCACATATTTGATAAATTTCAACAATCAAAAAATAAACTGATGATTCGCTTCAAAGGACAGAGAATATCATAAAAGCCTGAAGTAGCACAAGTAAAGAAAGCTTAAAAATGTGATTGATTTAGAAAATGAGTTCCACTTTCAACTGCAACAACCCCCTGCTTGAGAAGCAGACCCATATCTACCTCCTGCTGGCCCTGGGATGCCCCCATATCCAACTTTTATCCCGTCAGACTGCAAAATCTAAAACAAAAAAAACAAAAAAAAAAGGCATAATTTTTAAGCACAAGCACTGCAAATCCTACCTATCACAACCAATCAAAATAGCTTTTCACTAAGTAACTAACAGGACAAAAGTTTCACTTTATGTTGCCAAAATTACTCACATCTCCCATGCAACTAGACTAGTAATCCGAAACTGAACTTTTCGTGTTCAAAAACAGGACAGTTTATGAGACAATGGTTTCACCCATGTCCTCTCTTAGCATTACAGTGGATGCCACTTAACAACTGAAATATTTGTCTCACTAAAACTAGATAAGGAGAAAAGGGTAACCAGAAGTTATGGTTTTAATAGGTGAACCTCAATGTGATTCATCTTAGGCAGTTGCTAATTTATGCTATGATCATACATTCCAAGGCCTCATGAATATATATGTTCAAGACTTCAAGATTGAATTACCACTGAAACACCTTAATCAATTAAACCTTTTTTGGCCCACCTCACATTGAACTATCCAAATACCAGCAGAAAAAGAGAGAAAATAAATCCAAGGCATACCTCGTTTGATACGTCTAAAACTCCATCCTGAATTTTCTTATAGATTGTTGAAGCTGTGTTTATAAATGCCTGCAAAAGCAAAAGAAAAAGGAGAGAGGGGGAAGAGTGTCAGAAAGAAAAAAAGAAATATAATTTTTCTTTTTGATAAGTGGAAAACAAAGAAATATAATAGTAAAGAAGCTTCAGTTGATAACATTTTAAAACATCTGTTAGCAAATTCATCACCTCCTCAACATTCTGAGCAGTTTTTGCAGATGCCTCCATGAATATTAAACCGTGTTCCTTGGCAAACTGCTCTCCTTCCTCTGTGCTTACGGCCCTTCTGTGAGCAAGATCGCACTTGTTGCCAATAAGCATAATAGTCATGTTGGCATTTGCTTGTTGCCTTACATCCTCCAACCAGCTAACAAGGCGATTAAAACTTTCCCTCCTAAGAATTGGAACCATTAAAAATGTACTTTATTACAACCAGAGAGGCAGAGCCAAATCCCAACTACACCAAGCCAGTGAGACCAGCCCAAACAGTCAACCCAATCCATAGTTATCTATATCTTCAATTGAAGTGTGTATATAATTAAAAATTGGCCATGCAATAATAAATGAAAACACACACACACAGCCAGAATATATTAGATAATTCTGCACAGTGGTATGCTAATTCATCCTCTCTCTAGACAAGTAAATAGTTGACGACCAGAATGGCTTCTGTAAATTTGTAAATCAGTTTGTCATTTCAGTTAAAAAACTCAGCATAATGAAGTGCCTATTATTTGTTCTGACTTGTATCATTATGTGAGTTTTTCTTATGAAATTATTATCTTGTTTTGGCTGTACTTTCCATGAAGAATATATCAGCTATATGGCTCAACATAACTCCCAGCTCATTCATTATTGTTTAAAAATGCTCATTCCCTGTAAACACATTGGCAATTGAGTCTCCTCATAATGCATATTCTTCAAAACGTTTTAAAGATATAATGTTGATAATGTTACTAAGACAGAGACGCATCATAAGACAATGTACTGATACAACCTCTTTTGTGGAAGGCAGTTAGGTCGGACAAATATAAAAATATAGCATAGAAGTCACTGAAAACAAATAATCCAAGAAATATTTTAGAATATTGTGAACAGAAAATGATCAATTTCCTTCTTTCAGTAGCATGACTAATGACAACTAAAGATGCAGAAGAACATACTCACAACTATATATGCAAGACTTTTTCCTAGTTTACATGCATTAAATGAGAAAAAAGAATGACTTCTTTAGTTTATAAAAGAAAATGGCTTCATTAACTGTTAAAGATTCAAATAAGAATAATACCTAGTGATATCATAAACTAACAGTGCACCAGCAGCACCTCTGTAGTAGGACCTCGTAATAGACCTGAATGATTCTTGACCCGCCTGACATAGCAATAAAATAATGAAATATAAATGTGCATGAATGTAATATAAGTCAAGTAAGGAAACAAAAAAAGAATAGAATAAACCAACCGTGTCCCCTATTTGCAGCTTTATTGGTTTGTTATCAATTGTGATCATTCTGGCCCCATATTCAACACCGATGGTTAAGTCGTGCACGGACTGAAACCGTTTGTCAGTGAACTGCAGAAGAATACATGATTTTCCTACGGCTGTGTAACAAAGGATCAAACTCACATGAGTTTCAAAAATTCTTCCATCATTCATTACTTCAACAAAAATATTCATCTCGTAGTTTAATATAAGTGGGAGTCATAATTTGTAAAGATCTAATATGAGATAATGGCCACTAGTCCACTACCATCATGATCATTATTCCTTATAAAGCGAAATTTATACCACTGGAGGACATTTAAGAAGTGAAACTTCACCTAATATTGGGAAAAACAAAATGTTTCACCTTTACCTATTGCCTTCTAAAATTATTCAAGTACAACACATGTCCACTGGAACCCTCCCGAGTAAGAGACTAATGAATTTCCTTGGCCAGGGGCGAAAGTTAGAAAAAAAATTGAATCTTTTGATTGTATATAGTCCAAACTACGTAATACCATGAAGCTATCTTACAAAGTAAAGTTACTTCCTACTCTTTACAAACCTTTTCCTATACCTTGTGAAGTTAAATCTTGGAAAGACAATAGAAGAGGAGTGTAGCTAACCCATTTAGTAGCTTGAGTGGTATCTCCGACCACCCTAAAGGGTCAAGTCCTGATTGGGAAATGGGCGATACATATGTAAGATTCATCTCTTACAATGCAACAAAGTTACAAAATGCAACACCCATGCAGCAACTTTAAATAAAGTTATGAAACACATTTATATTGAATATATAACACATGTGCAACATATTACATCATGTTGCAACGTTATAATACCATTAAATCGAGAATTCAACACATTTATGCAGTTGTTTGATTTTCATTTCAAAGTTGTCGCAATCACAATTTAAAGTTGTCACAATGTACACGGGAGAGGATCCTGGTGTGTACACGACATCTTTAGGTAACAACTTTATGAACATAGCTAAAAGATAAGCAAAACTTAGTATCTTAAATGCTTCCTTTGGGAAACTTATCTTATCCTTTTACCAACATTCTTTCCTATGTAATAATGGCACAATTTTGTTCTTTGCACACACTATGCAGAAACATAATATATAATATATAGTTATCATTGCAAGAAAAGCAATGAAAAAAGGTTACCAACTTGACTCAGTATGACAAAACTTGCACACAATACAACACACTAATATATTGGGATAACGAAGTACACCATAACATTAAATTTCACTTGTTCAATGTATGAAAAGATCAATACACGCATTATCTATCTTGTGCGAGTATGTCTCCTGAATCATCACAGTTTAGGTATATCAAAGTTGCCACAAAACTCCTTAAGATCCAGAGAAACACACATATACAGTGTGAATACGAATATATAAACTCTAAAATCGGTATTACGCAATAAAATCGGAAGTAAAGGAATTGAGATAAAGATTACAGGTATCTCCTATGATAATGTACTTGAAGAGGTAAGCGTAGGACATGGTCGCTCAGATCTTTGATTTGCTTCGAAATAACTCCGAAATTGAGAAATTCACTGATCAAACTATACAATTGTGCTTTTGAACGAGATCTGATCAGACAGCGATGAATGAATTTGAACAAAATTAAAGGAATATATAAGAAACTATGAGAGAATAAGGATTCTCTATGAGACTTACAGAAGGAAAAGGAGAAGGTAGAGAGGTTTCAGGAAAGCTTTGGAATTTCAAGCGGAGTTAACCGCCTCTCTTCCTTCTTTTATAGAGAGAGAGAATTTTCAGAAACAACTTGGAAGGTACGGCTACGGCCCTTACCCAACTTCGAAGGTACAGTCCATTGCGTTATCTAAAACCGCGTTTCGTGTCGTTGAAGGCATCGTCATGCCAGCCTATCAGTCCAGTGGTCCGAGCCCAATCACAAGCTCAGGAAACTACTCTCTTTCAACAATGATAAATGTAAAATAAAATAATTATTTTTCGGTTTGAGAAATACTATATCTATATCTATATCTATTACTATTATTAAAAGTACAAAATGCGTTTTAGTACATTAAAGTATTTCAGTACATTATTTTTAATTTATATGCTCCATACGTATATTTTCTTTTAGAGTAACACAAATTACCTATTTATTTTTCATTTTTATTTTAAAATTAATATATGGTGATTAGAATAGTTTCAATAAAACTCAAATTTCTTATTTATTATGAGTTTTTTTAATAAAAAAATCTAATTAAATAAAGAAATATATAAAGAAAATAAATAATTTAGTCTTTCTAATTAGACAATGAAATATATAAAAAAAATATAAATAATTTAGTCTATTTAGTCTCCACATATTTTCTAATTTTATAAATAATATTTTAATATATAAATAAATAAAATATCAGTAAATTGTATAAAAAATAGGGCTTGATTTTGATATTGTTTTAGGAGTTTGAAAATACACTTATCAATAATTGAATTCCTATTGTAAAGTTCAACTAAAAATTATATTTTTATCTCTTTTACCTTGTGTCAATTTATGTTAATGGATATTTTAGAATTTAGAATTATTTAACTATTTTGTTAAATATTGATTTTAAATCATATTTTAATCACGAGCAATAGTACATTATTTTTTAATAATAAATTTATATGTTCAGTATGTATGTTTAAAATATTAGAATAACACAAATTACATATTTATTATGAGTTTTGATTTTAAAATTAATATAAGGTGTTAGAAGAATTTATATAAAACTCAAATTACCTATTTAGAAGAGTTTATATAAAACTGAAATTACCTATTTATTATGAATTTTTTTAATAAAAGGAAATCTAATTTAGATAAGGAAATATATAAAGAATATAAATAATTTAGTCTTTCTAATTGGACAAGGAAATATATATAAAAATATAAATAATTTAGTCTATTTAGTCTCCACCTCTTTTCTAATTTTATAAATAATATATAAATAATTTTCTAATATATAAATTAAATAAAATATTAAAAGATTGTAATAAAAAATAGTTTTGATTTTGATATTATTTTAGGAGTTTAAAAATACACCTATCAATAATTGAATTCCTATTATAAATTTTAATAAAAAAAAATTATATCTCTTTATTTTGTGTCAATTTTATATTCATGGATATTTTAGAATTTATAGTTATTTAATTACTTTATTAAATTTTAATTTTAAATTAGAGTTTACACACGTGCAACGCACGTACATATTTACTAATATATATATATATATATATATATATATATATATATATATATATATTTGCCATTTTACATGTAGGGCTCAAAAAGAATTTAAAAAATTATATAGATATTTAGTGTTGACACGGTCAATTTTTGTTGCACATTGATTATAATACTTTTAAGAAGTGAGAGCATTTTATTCATTATTGAGAAAAAGTTTTTGTTGGAATCTATTCAATGTATTCATTGAATACACTTAAAAAAAAAAAAAATATTGATCATTTTAAACTCTTTAAAATCACCAAAACGTAATAATCCACTGGAAATTTGTTGTGATGAATATTCATATCAACCATGTCTCATGGTTGGTTATCATTGTAAGATTATTTATTTAATTACGGCCCACATGATTTTGATATTATTTTAGGAGTTTAAAAATACACCTATCAATAATTGAATTCCTATTATAAATTTTAATAAAAAAAAATTATATCTCTTTATTTTGTGTCAATTTTATATTCATGGATATTTTTGAATTTATAGTTATTTAATTACTTTATTAAATTTTAATTTTAAATTAGATTTTACACACATGCAACGCACGTACATATTTACTAATATATATATATATATATATATATATTTGCCATTTTACATGTAGGGCTCAAAAAGAATTTAAAAAATTATATAGATATTTAGTGTTGACACGGTCAATTTTTGTTGCATATTGATTATAATACTTTTAAGAAGTGAGAGCATTTTATTCATTATTGAGAAAGAGTTTTTGTTGGAATCTATTCAATGTATTCATTGAATACACTTAAAAAAAAATATATATTGATCATTTTAAACTCTTTAAAATCACCAAAACGTAACAATCCACTGGAAATTTGTTGTGATGAATATTCATATCAACCATGTCTCATGGTTGGTTATCATTGTAAGATTATTTATTTAATTACGGCCCACATGATTTGGACATGTGACATATTACTTGGTGGCTAAGTAAATAGATATCAATTAATTATTCTTGGTCAATTTATAATTACTTTTTTGGTAATTACTTATGGAGAAGTGTTTTCCTTCTAATTCCTTACTTTAATAGAAAGTAAAATTGTAATACTAAAAGGAAAATTGGTCCTCTCTCTGCCTTTATAAAAGTGCATATGCTCCATCAATTATGTACGATTATTGATACAACACATAAAAAGGTTATTGTGTGTAAAAGGCCAAGAGAGATAAATCAGTTTCCACCTTTGTCTGTTGATCAGAGTTGCAGATTGATTCGTGGTTAAAGGATCTGGACATTGGATTTAATTTCAACAAGGTTTGATATCATGAATAGAGGTACGTATATCTAACTATATTTATGTATGCGTTATAACGATGTGAAATTAATTGAAGTTCTAAGATCTAGGTTTTATGATAATTTGTGATTAAAGTCTAACACAAAATTAATTAGGGTTTTTACATATGGTATCAGAGCCCGTAGTTTTGGAACTCATTATTTTTCCATTATACTTGCATAAATAATATGTTTAAGTTTAAATTAAAATTTTAATTTATTATAGACTAATCTGTTTAATGCAGTTTGTCTCTTGACTATTGTTTCATAAAGTAATCAATATCTCTTACTTAGATTTGTTGACTTATTATAATATGCCTCGATTTCTGAACCTTATTGTTTTGTTGATGGTTATATGAACATAATGAGAATGGTGTGACAAAGCTGCTATGATTTCGTGCATATGATGACAGAAGTTAAAGTTGTATATTTGATATATATATTATATGTATTTGTTGAAAGTTTGAAAAGAGACAAAAACAACTTAAAGTTTGACAAAGGAATCTAGGTGGAGTTAAAGTTTTTTTTTTTTAAAAAAAAAAAAAAAAAATGAAACTTGG